TGTACCTATGTGAGGGTGTGGAATCCCCTGGAACTGGAGTTATAGACAGTTGTGAGCTGCCATATGGGTGCTGGAAATTGAACCCAGATCCTTTGGAAGAGCAGCCAGTGCTCTTAACTGCTGAGCCATCTTTCCAGCCCCAGGCATTACACATTTCTAATCCCAGCACATAAGAGGCAGAGACAAGAGGACCAAGACAAATTCTGTGCCAGCTTATTGTATGTATTGAGTTCCAGTCCTGTCAGCGATACATAGTGAGACTTGCCTCAAGAAGGAAAGAAAGGGGGCAGGCAGGGGAGAAATTGTTTGCGGAAGTAGCCCAAACCCTCCTCCAGTTAAGCATCACCCTTGATTTGTTCAATTCATTGTGTTTTGGAGGCCTAGTTTCCCTCCCGACTTCTCTTAGAATCTATTCAGCACGGCTGGCAAGATGGCTCTGCAGGTAGCGGTGTTTACCACCAAGCCTGACAACCTGAGTTCAGTCCCCAGCACCCATTTGATAGGGGAGAACTCCCACAAGCTGTCCCCTCACCCACACACATGTGCCATGGGACTTGTTCATACGTGCCCTCCGGAAAAAGAAAGCCTGCCAGGACACAGAGCTGAGGCCCTATTCAAACCCAGAAAGCAATGGGAGTGCCCCACAAACAGTGGCACATCCCAGCAGGTATGAAGGACTTTCTCGACCACTCCCAGATGTGGTGACACCCAGTCCATGCGACACAAGGGAGATAGCACATCAGGCCACAGCATTGTTCTGCAGCTAGCATACTGCTTCCTGTTTACATGGACCCTGCAGGTGTACAGCTTGAACGGCTCTTAGGGGACCTCCTGTGGCTTCAGCATGACCGGGAGGAGCAGGGGACCTTCTCAAATACGTTTATTTTCTCAAGACTTGGGTTCAATAGCCTGTGGAAGGGACTTGTGACTAGTAGGCTTCCATCCCAGGGAGCAATTTGGATCAAGGGCAGATCTTCTGTCACTACATGCTAAAATCCAATCCCCAGCCAATGGGCAAACTTCATCTGAGCACTCACTATGTACTGGGTCCTCTGATGATACATGGCACACATTGTGTACCCACCTCCTGCATATGCTCCTCTCACAACACAATCATGAAGATGAAGATAATGGCATATCCATTCCAGACGCAGTGCCCTCCCATTATGCTAAGCAGGCTTTGAAGATCACTGAGTTCCAGGCACTTGGTTGAAATTATTTACACCTGATGACGCTGTGCCACAGTGTCCTGTTCCATAAAATGGCAATAGTGCTTTCCTTAAAGAGTCGGTGTGACGATTAAAAGGCTAGGTGCAACCAGGTGCATTGACTTAGTGCTTCAGAGGTCAGCCCAAGCCCTTGCCATTTCCTTTTGTAGTGCCTGGGAAGAACGCATGGATGGAAGAAGGGGCTATGGTGCCTCAGCTGCTGGCCTCACCTTTACTTCTGACATAGGCCTACGTTAGGTGAAGCTGAGTCAAGGTCCTGAGATGTCTGCATTTTAGGGACTCAACATATTTTGCTCTCAGACACATGCACACTTCTTTTCATGGTTGTTTTAAAGAAAGGGTCTCATAACCCAGGCTGGCCTGTGACTGTGGGTATGTGCCACTGCCTCCAACTTCTGTTGCTTTAAAGGAAAACACAGTCTCTTTCCAGTAAGTTTAGTGGCTAGATACTAGATGAAAGATTAATAGGCAGATCTCATTTAAACAGGAAAGTTCCAGCATGGTGGTGTACTCCTTTAATCTCAGCCCTTGGGAATAGATCTCTGTGAGTTCTGGAGCAACCTGGTCTACATAGTGGGTTCCAGGCTAGTAATCCCAGATGCTTGGGAAGCTGAGGCAGGAAGATAGTGAGTTCAAAGCCAGCCTGTAACTTGTCCTATAGCTCAGAGTCAAAGTTCTCTTCTAGCATAAAGCCCTGGGTCCAGTACGTGAACAAAAATAACAGATTAAAAAGACTATTTTTAACCTATTTCCACAGCATGGAGGCATGTCCTTGGAAGGAAAAAATTCATCTTGTTGGATTTGTCACTACCTACTGTGTTTCATTATGGAGGGGTCAACTCTTAGTCTCTTTTGATTTCATTCATATGATTTGTAGTAGTTTCCGGTAACTGTAAGCAGGACCGCTCTCCTGGCAGAGGACCCTGAACTGTCTAAAAAGGAGAAAGCAAGCCTGGTGGCACTTCCTCCATCCATCCAGCTTCCCCACTGTGGGCTCAGTGGGACCATCTACTTCAAGCTCCTACTGTTTTGATTTCCCTGCCATGATGGGCTGTACCTTGAACTGTGAGCTAAAATAAGCCCTGTTTCCCTGCATGGCTACTGCCATTTTATCAAAGCAACAAGAAAAGATACTAAAATGTGACTAGGGTTTCTCTTTTTATTTTTTGTAATATTGTGAAGAATTATCTTCCTTTTGAAAGAATTAAATACATCCAAAGCACTTTAGATAGTTATTGGCATATAATTAAGAGTTAATGAATATTGGTTGACATCATTAATAGTATGAGTTACTGAGCAGCTACAAGTGAGGCTCTGTCATACTTCTGAAGATAGCAGTGTCATTATTATGGAGCACCTGTTGGCCACAAGGTCCAGTGTCCACCAGCATTATAAAAAGGATTTACTGTGAGCCAGACTGGGCCAGGCACTGGTAATGCTGAGTGGTGCACTCGTCAAGGGTCCTGCATTCCAGTTCAAGGAAACGGGACTGTTTTGGAGGGGAACATTTCTAGAAAGGTCAGGGGGTAGTCTGTTCTTCTGCCTTCGAGTCAGATGAGCACAGACCCAGGTCAGGAAAGCAGTGACTTTGAGCAGCTGTGCAGAGCACTCCAAACTCAGCTCTGTCTCTCATGCTAAAGCAGAATGGACTCTGACAAACTATTCCAGTGATTGCCCATCTGGGGGAAGGGAACCAAGGTGCGGACCAAGTGGGCATCTTATTCTGGGTAGGAGAGGAGCAAGGGACAGAGAATTAAGATTGCTGCCTGCTGAGCCCTGAACCAAAGAAGGAATCAAAGATGGTAGTGAATTCATGAACTCAATGAGCCAGGAGCTTGATGCCTCCTTTTTTTCCCTTCCTCCTATCCTTGTGAACCCATGAGGAGGACACTTGGGCCTGTTACCCTCTCTGCTTGACCATAGGAACTTGCTTGGCTTCAACAGGTCACTGTTGCTAAGCACAAAGGAACTTTGGGAGCCTTGGAGTTCTGCATTTTCTCAATCGACCCCATTCTATAGTCAGAGGTTCTGTTGGCCTTCCCGTTGCCAGGGAGACAGGAGTGCCAATAATAAGGACCAGGTCTCAAGTTTACAGCCATACAGAATTGGGTGTGCAAACACCTAATGGGAAGCCCAGCAAGATGGCTGGAGATTGCAGGAACTAGAGTGATTTTGTGGGTCACTCTCGGTTCCAGTTTTAGAGGCACACTCAGAGGACACACTCAGAAACATGAGTCCAGGGCCCCAGAGATCAACAAAGCTACATATCCAAACTGCAGTTGGAGAAAACAGGCCTGGAGAGGGGAGCAAAGGACCCAAGGCTTCGGGGGTAGCTAGCTTCCATATGGGGCTGATAACCCTGATTCTAAATCAACTGGGATCTGAGCATCCTCCTCAGCAGCTTTTTTCCCAGACACTCAAGTTATTTGAAGAGAAGGTCACTTCATCAAGCCTCACCCAGTCCAGATGACTTTGGAGAGCAGCCAGCAGGACCACCTTCCCTCCTGTGAGACAGCCTAGTTGTCTGTTGGATGCCTCTAACACTGGCCATCAAAAAGGTCCGTTGTGTCCATGTGAAGAAGGACACAATGTTGAGCCTGCTCAGTGGTGCACACCTGTTATCACAGACCTCCAGAGTTCTAGGCCAGCCTGGGCTCCATGAGAGTCTCTCTCAAGAAAAGAGCAGCTGAGAACAGCCCCTGCTGCAGAGAGTCAAACTAGAGATTACAGAGTTCTGAGGCTTCACACTCGCCCTGCAAGTAGTTTGATTCATTCAGAGGGCTCTGTGACACTTTTACATTTGTTCCTAACATGTAAGATAAAATCAGGATCTGATGAGATGGCTCAGCAGGTAAAGGCACTTGCTGCTAAGCCTGAGGACCTGAGTTCAGTCCCAGCTAGACCCACACACTAGGAAAGAACTGACTTCTGCAAGTTGTCTTCTCGTTTGCATTCTTACACAGTGGAACTCGTGCAAGTGCGCACACACACTCAAATAATAAATATAACTTTAAAAAATCAGATCTCAAACACATGCTCCTAGTCAATAGAGAATCTGAGCTGGAAAAATGGCCTTTGGGGACTAGGGTTCTAGTTCAGTTGGTGCCATGCATTAGGCCTTGAGTTTGACCCCATAAACCCAAGTATGGCAGTACATATCGGTAATCCCAGCACTCTGGAGGTAGAGGCAGGGGGATCAGGAGTTCTAGGTCATCCTTGGCTACATAGAATTTGAGGACAGCCTGAGCTATATAAGACCCTTGTACTGACTAGGTTTATGTCAATTTGACACAACCTAAGAGAGGAGGGACCCTCAAGCGAGAAAACGCCTCCCAAGGATTTGGCTGTAGATAAGTCTGAGGGCCATTTTCTTAGTGATTGATGGGAGCCATTGTGGGTGGGAACACCTTGGGCTGGTAGTCCTGGATTCTACTAAGTAAGCAGGCTGAGCAAACTGTGAGGAGCAAGTCAGTAAGCAGCCCCCCCTCCATGGCCTCTGCATCAGCTCCTGCCTCCAGGTTCCTGCCCTGTTTGAGTTCCTGTCCTGACTTCCCTCAGTGATGAACAGTGATGTGGACATGTAAGCCAAATAAACTCCCCAAGTTGCTTTTGGTCATGGTGTTCCATCATAGCAATAGCAACCCCGACTAGGACGACCTTGTCTCAAATTTAAAAAGGCAGGGGGTGGGGGATGGGAGGTGGGGTGGGGGGGTGTTCCAGCCTGAGTAGCAGAGTTGAGACTCCACTTTGGGAGTAAAAACACCAGACCCCCTGGCTTGTATGATTTATTTTCCACATTGTGGCCATGTGCCCACGGGACAAAACTGGCATCCATGTCACCACCAACCCGAGGGCTTAGAGGTGGATTCATGGGCATTCCATCCAGAGCGGATTGTTTCCCAGAACTTGGGGAGACGACCTAAGGATAATAACCCATTGCCAAACAGAGGGATCTCTGGGAGTTTTACACCTGGCCTCTGAGGTATCTCGGCAGAGAAACTCTGGTTATGAGGCTGGTGCTGGCAGTTCAAGCCAGTGGAACCACCCGAGTACTGCAGAGTGTTGGTGTCCCGAATGGAAGGGACCAAGCAGTTATTGGCTGGAGAGTGATTGGCGGGAGTGTCTATGTTAGTGCTGGGAGTAGAATAACTGCGGGGTGGAGCAGGTTCCACCGGGTCCAGGTAGAGTGAGTTGGCGGCTCGTTCCAGGTAGCTGGCCGCCAGCTGCGGCAAGCTCAGCGCTTTGGGGTAGCTGTTGCTGAAAACGTTGGTGGATCTGTCCAGGTAGTTGATGCCTTTGATGAGCTGGTCCAGGAAGGTAGGGCTGGAGGGGGATGATGGACGGTCTGTGCAGAGCAGGCATTGAGGGTTGCTATGCTGACCACTGGGCTTCCTGGCTACCTTGGGGCCTCTCAACAGGTGACTTGTCTCTACACACCTGGAGTTGTAGGGCTGGGCCAAGCAGATATTCCCCACAGGAAGTTTGGGGGAGGCAGGGTTGCAGGGCTGTTCCAAATGGCCACTGGAGGTGCTGAGCTCAGGGCCGCTTGGGATATGCGGACCCAGACCCTTGACGTTGTTTGTATTGGAATAGTGGGTCCAGCCTGGAGTTCGGGGAGGAAACGGGGTGTTGTTGGGATGGCTCAAACGGCTGTAAGTGTTGGATCGATTCACCTGGCGTCCAGACATCTTGCCTGGGTCAAGTTTCTAAGGTGTGACCGTGTTTGGTTGGTTACCTGGACCTGCCAAAGAGAGAGCTGGGTCAGCTCCGGCTCCGGGTCACCTCCCTCTGACCTTTCTCTTTATGGGCGTCCTCTGCTTCCCTCTCCCCTCTCCTTCCAGGCTCAGGACTTCTCTAGAAAGCACAGGAGAAGGGTGAGAGGAGAAAGGCGGGGCCGTCAGAGTGTCCAAGACCTGATGACGGCAGCAGCAGGAGGCACTAAGAGAGCTGCTTCCCTGGGAAACATGGGACAGACTCTTCCTTGAGCCCACATTTCTCAAATTCCAAAGCAGGGACCCCAGTATGCCACAAAAGCCAAATGGCAGTCTCTAATGTTGAATAAAACAGAGACAGCCTGTAGATGACACCCAAAAGCTAGCCCACAGTGCTACTCAGCATATTTCGTCGCCCCCCCCTCCAGACCTGCACTGTAGACTTGACCTCTGCACTCTGTCCTTGGCCACCGCCTGTCTCACATGCTGCAACACAAGGAGTGAAGCAACATTCTAGTCTCAGTTGGCAGATGCCCCTACTCCCAGCACAAAGGAGACAGAGTTCAAGGTCAGCCTTAGCCACATAGTAAGTTCAAAGCCATCCTGGCTATGTGAATCTCAAAAAAATCCTGCCAGGTTGTTTGGTTCTAATCTCCTCTGGTGGTATGAAATTTCTTCATTTGCCCCACTTGAATAGAGAGCCTCAGAGTTCCCACTCTTTCTGGTCCTTAAGTAGGCATTTTATGGAGAGTAAAACATGGCCAGGCTAAAGACATGCCGACTCCATTAAACTCTGTCCCGTCCCTGGGTAATGAAGTCCGTATAGCTGTTTCTTTCGCTCCCTTGGGTCGCCAATACTGGCTAGCCCTCCACCCCTTCAGGAGTCTGCCACACTACTGCCAGCTCTGCCTGACTTCTGATATTTGCCCAGTGCCAACAGAACAGTATTTGAGGCCGCCCCACCCAGAAAACAGCTGCGAATCTCTTTCCCCGCCCCTGGTCCCTCAGCTGCCCTTGTCTTTTGGGTCTAAAATGGGTGGAAGGTCCAAGCCCTGGCCTCTCTTCCCTGCCTTGCCCAACCTCACCTCATCCCCTAGTCTAGAGAAATAAGAGGGGACTGAGGGCCACCCCAGCTCAAGTCCCCTCCCCTTCCTGGACCCTATCTGCCTGCCATCGGACGAGTTCCTCTCTTACCCTGGCTCTTAGGAGGTAGATGACATAGACCTCCCTGGCTCTCCACTGGGGACACCCGCAATCTGCCGCTTCAGACTGCTGGCCATGTCATAGAATCACGGAATCCTAAGGCAGGGAAGGGCCTTCTGGGGTCATTCCGGCCAGGCCCCAGCCTCAGGGAAGGAGCTCCTATGAACCTGCCAGGACAGATGGGCCCTGTTTTTGAACCCAGACTAAGGTGGCTGCCTTCCAGGATTTGTTTTTCTTGTGTTGAATTGAAAGATTTGAGCGGCTCTGACACAACTCAGGCTGGCTGCATTTAGTATCAGTTTCTTCTCTTGTTGGGTAGGCATGTGTTAATCCAGCTTCCTCCGAGGGCTGTCCCTTTGGGGACCCATTCTAGGAGACTGAGAGCAGTCAGCAATTCTTTGTAGAGTGCCTTCTGTCTGTCAGGCTTCAGATGGAGTGTGAAGTCCCTTCAAGGACATTTTTTACTTTCTTTCTGAACCCCATGTCCCCAGGACTCCTGCAGTAAATGGGTGCTGAGTGAATGACACACACATCCTCCCCTAAGACCTTAGGGCATTTCCCAGGAAGAGCTTTTCTCCCCATCCCCATTTTTGACTCCTGTTGAAAATAGAGTTTGGTTCTAGGTGGTCAATTAAGTTTCTGACTGAGGTGTGACGGTGTTTGCCCATTATCTGAGCTTGCCAAAGAGAGAGTTGGGTCAGCTCTGGCTCCGGGCCACCTTCCTCTGACCTTTCTTTTATGGGCTTTCTCTGTTTCTCTCTCCCTCTCCTTCCAGGCTCAGGACTTCTCCAGAAAGTACAGGAGAAGGGTGAGAGTTGAGGAGGAAGGCAGGACCATCAGAGTGTCCAAGACCTGATAGAACACATTCTTAACATGTTCAAGACTTGGGATTTTTGCTGGGTGGTGGTAGGTAGCACACGCCTTTAATGCCAGCACTTGGAAGGAAGAGTCCAGTGGATCTCTGTGAGTTCAAGGCCAGCCTGGTCTTCAGAGCAAGTTCCAGTACAGCCAAGGCTACACAGAAAAACCCTGTCTCAAAAAACTAAAACCAAACAAACAAACAAAGGCTTGGAATTTCAGCCTCAGTGCCACAGAAAACAAAAAGGGGGGGGAAGACTGAGGCACATCTCAGTGGTAGAGAGGGCTTGCTGAGCATATATAAGATGAGTTCAACTGCCAATATTGGAAAATCAATCTCTCTCTAATATAACATATATGTGTGTGTGTGTGTAGTGTTTATATCTACTTATACATAGAACAGTATATAAATAATATGCATATATTATATATACTGTATGTGTATATATAATATACGTTATATATACTCTATATACTATGTGTGTAGTATATTATATATACTCTGCGCATATAGTGTGTATATTATTTATATACTTTATGTGTGTATATAGTGTATATATAATATATACTTTATATAGAGTGTGCAATATATAATATATGCTCTATATGTGTGTATATTATGTTATGTATATATATAGTGTATATATACTATGCTCTACTCTATGTGTGTATATGGATTGTGTGATATATAATATATATACTCTCTATGCACATATATATGTTTTTTCCAGACTCTCAAGCTTTCTGAAACTTAGGAGATAATAAGCTGCCATATCTAGCCTCTTTTCCTTTTCATTTTATTTTGTGTGTGCTTGCATGTGGGTTATGCACATGCCTTGCTGGAGATCAGAGGACAGCTTATAGGAGTCACTTCTCTCTTTTTTTAATGTGTGTGGCTCTTCAAGACAGGGTTTCTCTGTATTGTTTTGGAGGCTGTCCTGGAACTCACTCTGTAGACCAGGCTGGCCTCGAACTCAGAGATCCGTCTGCCTCTGCTTCCCGAGTGCTGGGATTGAAGGCGTGCGCCACCACTCCCCAACTCAGTTTCCTCATTTTGCCTTGTGATTTCCAGGGATTAAATTTGAGTCATGCAGCTTGGCAAGCAAGGACCTTTATTCATTGAACTGTCTTTCTGGTCCCCATATGTTCTCCATTGAAATCCTCTAATTAAACATTTCTTCCACATTTAGCACTTAAGTCACGCACATATTCATTGCTACGCTGAGTAAGTTGCAGACAACAGCAGCTTTTATCCTTGATGGCCTCTCTACACGCTAAGAGGATAGGGATACTTTCTAACCTCTCACAGGTTCCTGATCCAGGATATCCAGGATGTTTAACATGGACATAGATCCTTATTATTCAATAGACAGTTCTGTTGTAGACCACTATCCTTAGAGTGTGGTAGCCATTACCGTCTTCATCCAAGAGACTCTCAAGGTCAGACCTGCTGATGTTCCCTCACAGAAGGATGGGACAAGGGAAGTCACTGGACCCTCCCCCAAGATTCCAGCCACCCACTCCTGTGCTCCTCCCAGATGCACGCGATTCTACTCCAGGGGTATGCGGACTTGGGAGGGGCTAGAGTACACAGAAAGTAGAAGGTTAACTAAGGGGGGGACGGAACACCGTAGAGATAGCTCTGAGAGATGGCCACCAATGCTGGTGTGAGCTTTTTCAGTGATGTGGCTTTTGGGGGATCACTCACAGTCCTGTAAGTCACCCCTCTCCCATTCTTCTATAAAAACAAAACAAATTTGGTGGTGGCGGCACACAACTTTAATCCCAGCACTCAGGAGACAGAAACAGGCAGAACTCTGAGTTCAAGGCCAGCCTGGTCTACATAGTGAGTTCCAGGACAGCCAGGGCTACACAGAGAAACCCTGTCTCAAACAAACAAAGGCCAATAAACTCATTGTTTACCAGTCTAACATTGGATGGAGTTGTTTCTTTTTGTTTGTCCTGGTACCCTATCTATGGCAAGCAACATTCAAGCCTCCCGAGGAGAAGTTAACACATTAATCCAAAGTTGAATTTCACCAGTTATCCCTGGAATGTTCATCCTGACCAGCATGTAGTTAGTTATCAAGTTTCTTTTGTGTCCTTCAGTCTGGAAATCTCTCTCTCCTCTCTCTCTGTGCATGTGTACATTTGTGTGTATGTTCCTGTGTATGTTTTTGTATATGTTCCTCTCTACATGTGTGGGTATGTGTGTATATGTTCCTATACATGTGTGTTCCTGTGTGCGTGTGTGCATGTGTGGAGTCCAGAGGCTGCTGGGTTGATGTCTGGTATCTTCTTCTGTCACACTCCACCTTATATTTTGAAGGAAGATCACCCCACTGAACCTAGAGCTCATCCATTTGGTAAGGCTGGTGGCCAGCAAACCCCAGGAAGCTCCCCAGTGCCAGGATACAGGCACGCATTGCCACAACCAGCATTTTACATGGATACTGGGGACCCAGAGCTCAGGTCCTCTTTCGTGCAAGCTCTTCACTGACAGAGGCGTCTCTACCGTCTCACCTTTCCTTCATCTTTGCTGGCACTGGGGGTTTAGACTGGAGTGAACCAGTTACTGGCAGAATGTCCTCCAGTTTGGGTTCAGTCTGTTTCCAGCTAGAGTATTGCAAATCACTGTAGCCCTGTGTCGCAGGACCTCCTTAGTGTGCAGTTGCTGAGAATGAAGACCCTTCTGCCTCTGGGGGAGGAGTTAGCTAAGCAATGGGCAGTGATGAGGGACCCAGAGGCCCCCTAGATGAAGAACAGTGCAGGGAACTTGGTGAACTGAACAAGGGAAGCGGTGTCCACCACTCTCTTTGGAGGCCTGAGCCAGGGCTGGGTGCAGTACTGGGCTGGGGGCTGGGAGGGCAGGCAGGCAGGCAGCCAGCTAAGGGCTAGGCCTCTAGGCTGTTTGTCCTGATGGTATCCAGGCATGGAGATCACTGGCCATTTCTGGCCTGGGCACAGGAGTGCTGGAAATAGCTTTAGGATTATTTCGGGAGGAATGTGCTGTTTCTCCATCTTCCCAGAAAGACAGGCTGTGTCCTAGGAAGATCGGCAAAGTCCGTTTCTGATGTCCCCACTCTGGGACCTTCAGGACAGTTGGTGACCCACAGAAAACTTCAGTCAGAGGGGGGCTGAAGGACTAAAAACCTCCTTTTGCTGATGGAAGGGGGTGACTTTGAGATCCTAACCCAGGTTGAGCACATTAGAGTTCAACTTACTCCCTGCCTGGGAACACAGGATAGGCAGCATATAAGGACACTGTTTGCCCTATCCCTGGTCCATTCTCCAAAAAGCTGACACTTATGGAACCCCTACTGCATGCAACAGAACCTGACGTCATTTTTGCCAGGCTCTCATTTAATCTTCACTGTCCCACTATGAGGTAGGTATCTTGTTTTCCATATGAGGTCATAGGCAGCTCAGAGAGGGAAAGACACTCAACAGAGCATGCCCAGAAGGCCAGAATTAGGACCTTGCTTCTAGGTTCAAAGAAGAGATTAAAGATAAGTAGGAAGATGTGTGGGTCACTCTCATTCATGTTGGGGGGAAGGGCTCCGGAAAGTGGCCCTGTCACCTTTGGGAGGGGAGACAGAGTGGCCAGGATCTGTAACTGTTTTCCACACTGAGCCCTTACCTGGACCACCTCCAGCCTTGGCTCTAAACTGTGGCCTTTTAATCACCCTTCTCATTCAACTTCCGTCCCCGCCCTACCAATATCCCCACCTTTCTTGTTCTCTTCTAAAACCAAGAGGTCCCCCTTCTCCACACCCTGCCCCTAGGCACAAGTATTCTGGAATATCTCACTCCTCTGAGCTCCCTCAGGATTCAGGGAGCAGTCCTTCTGAGATTGAAGACCCTGTCCCATTAGCACGTGGTCCACACATTAGCCCCCCTCACCAGCCACTCCTGCCCCATTAGTACATAGTCCACACGTTAACCTCTCATCAGCCACGTAGATTCTCTTGCTCCACTGGAGATCTGAGATGAGGAGAGGGACGTCCCTTGTGTCCCTTTACTTCATGGCTCTTGGAAACATCAAGTGCAAACAAGTTCAGCTCAGCAGTCACATGCGTGTGACAGCAGACAGGGACAGTTAGAGGCACGAGAACTTCAGTGCTCCCACCACGCCTGAAGGGCATCTGTGCCCAGCCTGTGATGACTACTGGCAGTGTGCCACCTCTGAACCCCTACCTGGCATTAAGCCAGCCCGCCT